GTGTGTGTGTGTGTGTGTGTGTGTGTGTGTGTGTGTGTGTGTGTGTGAGAGAGAGAGAGAGAGAGACGATAACTCTCCGACCTTGCGGCTCGCGCCATGCTACTACCATCGAGAGCAACATCCAATGAATCTTCGGCTAGAACATGGAAACATACACTACCTGGTTGAAAATGGCCGACCGCGTCATGCTACTTCCAGCGATAGGATGCGCAAAATCGAATGAATCTTCCCCTAGAACATGGAAATATTCACTACCTGATTGAACATGGCCGACAACTTCTACGGCGCGACGCAAAAAAACAAGTCCCCCCGGCACTGCGCGAAAAAAAACGGTAGAGAAAAAAGAGGCCGTTCATAAAGTCGTGCCGACACCAACCGCCCCCCCAAAAAACAGAAAACCCCGCCGGGCCCACGAAGCCGCGCCAACACCAACCCAAAAAAAAAAACGGTCCTTAACAAAAAACCGCGCCGGGCCCAAGGTGCACCGGGCCCACGCGGGAAAGGTCTCAGCGGGACGCATCACTCGAGACCCGCGTTTTCCTTTATATGTATAGAGATAGAACCGCGGAAAAACATCAGGATGACCAGATAGCCCTCACTCTCATTTCCCTCTCATTTCTTTTTCTTTTGGGTTTCTAACAGACAGTATGCAACGAGTCCACGAATTCACACTCCTCCTCACACCACCACAAGTTCACACTTCAACAAACCGAGCTCCACACAAGAGATGCAAATCAACATCAGGCAAGCCCACTTCGAATATTGTACTGAAATTCACAGTCCGATACAGCAGAGTCTCTTGACTACAAACCCGGGCGGCTATGGCCGCCAAACACCGTCAACAGGTATGGCTTCCTTTCTCTCTCTCTCTCTCAACCTATATTACCTTCAGGCCTCTCTCTCTCTCTCTCTCTCTCTCTCTCTCTCTCTCTCTCTCTCTCTCTCTCTCTCTCTCCACACACACACACGCTGTGGCGCCCGGCACCATCCGCTTAGCAACTCATACAGCCACTCATGGTACTCGGTTACAAATGAGCACAGCAGCGCTTCCGCCTCAAGAAGGCACCGAATAGTAGCAAATACGTGTTGATGTCTGCGGCCAATGAAGTTTTGTATTAACATAACAGTTCACGAGAAGTTCGAAAATGCGAGTGGTTAACAGGGACCCACCCTTTTTCATCCCGTAGGTGCACCCCCCAAGCACTGAAAAGCGCTTTAAGGCTTGAGACTGTTTGAGGATCATTGTTTTATTTACTTTTTTTAAGTTTTTTTGCCTCCTTTTGTTTTTTTTCCTCTGAATTGCTGTTGGTTTATGTAGTGTCCACTCAATGGATTGGTTTAGAAATGTGGATTACAAGGTCCGGGGGGGGTTGTTATATAAAGACCATGATAAAACCCTGACAGATTTTATGACTCTGTTAATCGCTTCTCGACAGGAAGTCACAATTCTGAAGTCCTGTGGGGTCGAGCAGGAGGAGGGGGAGGACAGGGACGTGGAAGAAGAAGAAGAAGAAGAAGAAGAAGAAGAAGAGGAAGGTGTTTGTACCTCATCACATCCTGCTAGTGTTCAGAAGGGAAGTAGCTGAGTAATATATGTGTCAACATATGCGTTATGTTTGGGGGAAGACGGTCGTGTCCTAAGAAGAAGAAGAGGAAGGTGTTTGTACC